ATGGACATGTGTTCAGGGAGCACGTAGGAGATGTTATCCCATGGGTGGCGGTACAGACCCTGTTTCAGCCTCTTCTGATCCAGGTTATTTCTTCATGTTCACAGCTTTAGTTCATCCTGGAAGTTTGAAAACTATATTTAGGCCAAAGAATTCACGGTAAATGAACCATGTGAATCTACTTCCACAGTAATCCAAACGTCTGTGGGGGAATAAGAGCTCGCCAAAAGTGACGCCATCGTCAGCATTATCTGTTTTCACTTTTTATTATTTTCTCCACTTCAGCTGTCTTCACCTCCATCTGTTTCTTTGTCCATCAGTTTTCTGGAGGAAGTGATGTCAGCGACAGGTCACAGCGGCAGCAGCAGCCGAGCACATGGAGGCGGTTTCCATAGCAGCAGGCGCTAAGCACAGAGACTTCTTCCTCTCCTCAGCTCTTGTGTGATGAGCAGCATCGTTCCCTCCGTCTGTTTGTTTGAAATGTTGGACACTTCTGTGAGCGGACATCATCAGACCGTCCCTGTGACATTAGAAACACCTCTGATCAATAACTGTAACAGCTGATCAGCTCTGCCGCTGCACGGCTCAGACTGGACTCCGCTTTAGTGTCGCTTTAAAATTAAAGATGTGAATAAAAAAGATATTGTCTTTTAAAATGAAAAGATTTCAAATGTTTCCTTTTCCTGTGTTCAGGATGTCTGGCTCGTCCTCACACTGTTGCTGAAATGACCTGTGGGCCTCCACTGTGGCGCCTCAGCCACAGACATAAAAATGAGAGGCAGAAAATTCATGTAAAGGCTGACAGACTACACGCTCGTCTGACATCACTGACATCACCGGTCTGCAGCCAGCTGAGTGCTCAGACCGTCTGCAGACGTCACACATTCACAGCTTTGCTCTCATACTGTGTTTCACCTTCAAACGCCCTGATCGTAGCTCCTCTGTTTACCTGTAAATATCAGACTAACCTCGTTGGACCATTGTTAACGCTGCTGCACTTATGTTTTGTGGAGTGTCCCTTTAAAGTGTCTGTGTGGCTGACTGTGGTTGTTCAAGTTTCAAAGCACTAATAAATAAAAATGTTCACACAAACGGTGTGTCTATGACGTTGGATCTTCAGTGTCTCCTTAGACAGATCTCAGTGGTTCTGAGACTCTGAGCACCACACCAGACACAAGGAGCCTGATGAGGGTTCAGGCACCAGGATGCACAGGTTAGGTGGGAGGAGGCCGGGACGCCCCCAGGAGCTGCAGCAGAACAGAGCTCCTGTGACCTACAGCACATGTCTCTCTACTATCACATAGGTAGTGATGGGTCCAGCACCACTGACGCACCGACGCGTGTATCGGTGCGTGCGTCGCTTTAAGAAAAAGTCACGTGATCGATACAGCTGCTTTATCGCTCATTGCCAACGCGCCAAACTGTGTTTAAAAACAAATATCACAGTGACAACATGTAAACAAAAAGCTCTAAGTTCTCTGCACCTGTCAGTAAGACGGCATAAACAGCTTGGACAGATTCAGGGATTATATCCACTTCCAGAAGAGTCCATGTGCTCTGTTCTCATTTTCTCGTCTCGATGAATCAGTCTGCAAAGCTGCACACCAGAGTATGGTGTTAGGCTGAAACTGAACAACCTTTATTTTGTTTCCACAAAGTGCTTTCCCAATGTTTTCCTTATTCATGTATCCTATTTGTAGTGATGGTAGATGAGGCCTCGTGAAGCGTTTCAGCACGTTCCCCAAACTGCATCGACACTGTGTCGACAGTGTTGCTGTTTTGCTCCATACTGACACCTGCTGGACCTTAAATATCATTGCAGGCAACTTACTTGAGACTCACAACAGAAACTGATTCAATGACCTCGTCATCCTTATATACACTGTAAGGTACTTTCCATGGAATCGTTTTATATCTTCTATATTACAAATATTGTAGACATCTTTAAAATATATTATGAATGACATTAAGTGAAAATTAAAATGAGGGTATTGTGAATGTAATATGACCCATTTGACTCAGAGTTTATTATAAATTTCTATTCAGAAAAATAAGTTTATCCAATGTTTTTGCTTTCAGTCTATTGCATTTTTTTTACACCATTTCCCCAGCTTTGGAAAACTCACAGGAACAGATGAAGCTGGGGTACAAAAGCTGTAAAGCAGGTGGAAAAGGTTCTGATAAGAGGTCTTCCTGTTCCCTCAGTACGTTACACTCTCTCTCCACAATACTAAGGGGTTGGCAGTCCTTTATAATAAAATTGAGGACTGCCTGGTCCAGAGCAGTCTTCCTAGATGAAAATAATAAAACACATATTAATTTAAAAAAATGATAATAAAGATGTTCAGTGTGTATACAGGCCGACCTGTGTTCATTCTGTGTGTTTGTCTTATTTTCATGTTTGGCTCTGTAACGCCTGAACACTGAGGAGGTGCTTTTGTTTGTGTAAGAAAGCAGAACAGATGCGACATTTAACCTGCATCAAATAAATAATTTACACTTCAAGTCACATTGCTGTTTTTTTCCTGTCCTGATAGATTACACTGAAACAAAGACAAACTATTACCTTATTAGCAGTTAAAAGATCAAAATGATCCCACACAGCAGAAACGTTTCTTTTTCATTCGGGCTCCATTTTGTTATGGAGAGATGTGTTTATTTTTTTTAATCTTTGCGAGAGTAATTTTGTGTTTTTTTGGTGGCGACTCTTCCATTGGCAGATGCGGATGAGGTACCTTTTAACCCACTGTACACAGACACAGGTCGAGGCTGAAGTGTTTGGAGCATTTCGGAAAGATTTGAGTCTCGGGGAGCTTTTGGCTCCATTTTGCAAGAAAAGCCTTTAATGATGCAAATGCACCTTCAGTACAGTATAACTGCTCAGTGTGGGTC